TTGCCGGGCAACTTATCAATCAACACACCCTTGACATATTCATACACCGGCAATTCCAGTGCTTGAACTGGAGAAATACGGCAGTGAGTAAATTTTGTCTTATCGATTTCGAAATCGAACGGGGCATTCACTGTAATCTCTTGGACTGGAGTAGTGGGAGGGTTTGTCGCGACTGGAGTTTCCATGGCTATTTTTTAAATTAAGTTTTAATTGTTTAAACTAATTTCAATTTTTGTGAAATTAGTTTTTTTTTTATTTGATTGGAACCCAGTGATCCCCGACCTTTGTTCGACCATTCCAACTCGATCGCAGGGTGAAACTACGTCCGCTTTTCGTGGTGCAGACGACTTCCGATCCGGTCAGCAATGTTTCGTATGTTTCTTCGTCAATGTCTCCACCATTGCACCCTGGGCCTGTTTCTTTTCCTCGCCGGTGTCGTACTTGAGGTACAACATTCGTGGCGCGACGAAAATCGCCTCCAGCATTTTTTCCGGTTTCACTTCGAACTGACCCAGACCGGTACCGACCACGCCTGGATACTTTTCCCGCAGTTCATCCACTTGGGATCGATGCAGGTACAGCGAATCCGTATGCGAATAGTAGTAGGAACGGTTGAGATCGGCGAGACCGCCAATCTTTTCCACCACATTCGTCAAATGATGACGGGCATACGAATAGATCAAGGCGCCGATATGGAGTGATGTCTCCACTTGTTCCGGCATCGGACCGATGAACTCACACTCGTAGCCGTAGTCGGATGTTTCGAATTGATGGATTTTGTCCTCGACGTCCAACATTTCCGAATAACTGAGGACTTTCTTTTCCTTCGTATCGTGACGCTTCACCAAGTAACCGGTGGTGTGATTCATCGCCACTTTCAACATGTCGGCCACTTCTTTTTCTCCGACGGCTTTGGCGTCGCGACGATCATTGAACATTTTGGTCATGACGTCTTTGAAAATCGGCGCCATTTCCTCTGGTTTCCAAAACACCACTTCATGGATTTTGGTGATGGTCAGTCGATCATGTTTCAGCGCATCTTGGAGATCCACGTGGGTGACCACCGTTTCGCACGGCGCCGTCGCATAAATGGATGAATCGCGAGTTCGGCGCGGAAGATGGGCTCGTACAAACGAATCGGGCGGGTACTCGACGGACACGCGATAAAATCCCGGATACGGAACTTGTCGGTTAGTATTCATCCAAACTCGAGCCTCGTCATTTATCTCAGTCAATCGGGTGCCCGCCGTCGTCGGAAACAGATTGATCGCCATCACCGACGGATAACACGAAACTGCATCGATTTGTAGCAGATAATCCTCGGGACCCATCGACTGGAACTGACACCGTTGCACATCCTGACGGCCACCATAACTCGCCCCTTCGAACATGGCGTACGATTCTTTGGACACGGTTTGGCGGACGACCGGAATGGTTTTGACGAGTTTATTGAACATGATGCCGGAAATCGCCTTGTTCGATTTGATCAACAGTTCCTCGAATAAATCGACTTGGAAATGATCTTGGAATCGTTGATACTGTAGATACAAAGCGGTGGCGAATGAGTACAAATCGGGTTGAGATTTGATTTCGAATTTGACCAGCGATTCGATGCGCACCGAATCGTCGGCCAAATTGGCGTTTATGATGACATGACCGGAGGCGAATCGTTTGTGCTGGATACCGAGCGATTCCAACCAAGTCGGATCGATTTGCGGGGTTAAAATCACTCGACGATTGGACTTTTTCAGCGCATGAAACAATCTGGTCTTTTCGATGTCGAACTGATCCTCGTCGATTTCGTTTCGATCCAATTTGTTCGCCAATTCTGTTTGTCCTGAGCACGCTGGCGAATACTGAAAATTGGTCGTTTCCTCGGTGACCGTATCGATCAATTGTTGGATCGTTTCAGCGTCGGCGGGTCGTGGCGGTAATTTGTCGGTGATCGACTTAGACACCACACCTTTCAGTTGTCGGCCATCCAGCTTGCGATTGGCACGCGCCCCTTGAATCTGCAATAGTTCCGTCAGCGGTTGGATCTGGTCATTGCACATCAAGTACAAACGATCCCACATATCGGTGGCGACGGTTTTGAATGGTCGAATTTCGATGGGAACAAACTCCGACGCCTTGATCTGCTCAAAGTAATATTTGCTGTCGGTTTTGCCGATGATCAACATCATGTGCTCCTCGTAGTGGATCAAGTGGCAATATTTGCCACCCTTTCCAGCTATTCTCGGAATGTGTGTCACGTATGCTTTATTGTCTTTGGACAGATTGCCGTTTTCATCGAAGCGATGGATACACAGTTGCACCTGACCCCAATCGAGTTTCGGTTTAATCTTGGTTTCCAATTCCTCAATAGTAATACCGTCGGAATTGATATCTCGACCGAGCCAGTTGGTGGCGAACACTTCTTTCGACGGCAACGGGGGCAAACCATTTTTCTTTGCAAACTCATTCAGACACCAATACACGCACCATCCGGGATCTTGCGGGGACCACACGAATTTGTTGTTCGACTTCAGCGTGCCGGACGCACGATCGGGGCGCAGTGGGACGACTTCGAAATTGATAGTCAGCTCTTCCGCGAAAATGACTTCCGCGTCCGAATTGCGACCCACGTTGAGGATTTGGCGCTCAATGTCAGCAAACCATTCTTGAACAAACGCTCGGATCGATTCGGGGCTGGAATTTTGGCGGAAATTGCGGGCAAACCCATTCAGTGTGTTGAACATCGAACTCATCTCGCCGGAAAAGGTTTCAATATCACCGCGCGGGTTGATTTTGTGCGGATGGTTGGCCGGGAATTGTCGGACGAGACTTTGCAACACCGCGGTAACCCCATCCACAGTTCGAGGAACGCCACGATACATGTACCGAGTTGCCTCTCGCATCGGAGTGACGGCCACTGGAGTTCGCCACGCTTCCGCGGTCGGAGCCGGAGCTGGAGCGGGAGCCCTGGATCGATGCTGACGAACAACTGGTGGCGGAACGACCGGTTGAGGAACTGGCGCCGGTCTTTGAGCTGGACGCGGTGGCGCTGGTTGGGGAACTGGTGCCGGGCGTTGGGCTGGACGCGGTGGAGCTGGAACTGGGCGTCCATTGCGTCGAACAAAAAGCGCCTCCAGTTGTTCGTTCGTCATCGAATCAAGCTGAGCCATTTGGATCTCATCCGCCCGGCGTTGCTCTAAAATTTCAAGCACTCGAGCAGAGATCGGATCATTAAGAA